GGCGTTGGGAAATATATATAGGTATTTATAAAATATAAAAATATATATATTTATAAAATATATATATATATATAGATGTACTTTACAATAAAGTTATGTACAATATTAGAGGAAGATTAGGGTTTGCACTCGGCTTAAATATTTATGTAATTTTTGGAATATTAATTCAGTCAAGACAGATTTAATTGGAAATAAGAGTTAATTATTTAAAAATTAAAAGGAAAAACTGGTTAAAACCTTATAAATTATTGTTAATTTCAATACTACAAATGTTGTAAATTTTTTATTTGAATAACAAATATAAATATTAATAAAAACAACAAGGCAAAGTTTCCTATATTTTTGAGAAAAAAATCGATATAATCTATGATATTTTGTAATTTATAAAATAATATTCGATATTTTTAATAAAAAAATCGATAATCTACGATTTTTTCGATATATATATTGAGAAAGATATTGAGCACTATATTTTATGAGATTTTTTCATTTTTGATATTCCCTTTAAAATATGTATGTATATTTCCTATATATTTGATAAAAAACAATCGATATAATCTAAGATATTTTCGATATAAAAAAATATACGATATTTTTAATCAAAAAAATCGATAATCTACGATTTTTTCGATATATATATTGAGAAAGATATTGAGCGCTATATTTTATGAGATTTTTTCATTTTTGATATTTCCTCTTAAGATATGTATATTCCACCCAAAACTATTTCCATTTTCCTTTCTCTTCCTTAAAAGTTTTCCTAATTTTTTTTTTCTTGTTTGTTTGTAAATCAACAAAAAATAATTTGAAATTTTTTGCAATAATATACTTGCCACATGGTATTCCACATTTATCCATCGATCCCCAAGGAGATGTGCGAAATTTTCAGAGCACGTAATGTCTGAAAAATATTGATATGTGTGTGTAAGTGTGTGAATTTGAATTTGCATATGTGTGTGGAGGAGGAGGAGGGACTAGGGAGGAAGTGATGGTTCCTGCTCGTGTTTGACAATAAGTTTCAATGCCTTGTCGCTCCTCATCCAACACACCCCTGCCTTTGTGTAAGGCGAGTAACACTTATCAAAAGTTTGTCGCTAACACATGCAAATTGAAATGTGCGATTTACACACACATACACACACGTGCACGCCCGCACACACCTAAGCACTCACCCTACATGCACACCTACGCCAATGCTCATACTCACATTTGGTCACAATGTTGTCACTTGTTCGCATTGCCATTGTTGTTGTTGTTGTTGTTGTTGTCCTTGCTGGGGCGGCACACGTACGCGACACATGCAGCTGCTTCCTGCCGTGTCCCTCCAGCACCACCCTCCTCCTCTCGTCCTTCCTCCTATTTCTTGTCCTTGTCTACATGGCCTCCAACTTTCGCCTGCTTTAGCACCTAACAACCATAGAACAAACGTTAAGGTTCTGGGCCAAAAAAGGACCTAGAATTAAAAAAAAATTATAAATATTATAAAAAATATTTATAATTATATTATAAATGTTATAATATTATTAAAAATATTTTAAGTAAATATTAAATATGAAAAAAAAACAAGTAGAGCTGCTTTGCAACTCGCCTTTGTCACTTTTAAATTCCAGGATATGCCAGGATATCGGCTTTGTTGTCTTTGTAGACGCTGCATACTTATTACAGCTCCAGCAGGTGTCTGCCAGAAAGAGAGAGAGAAAGAGAGTCGCAAAGAGGGAGAAGCAAAGGGTTTTTCAAATTCAAAATTCACACACACCTGGCCCCAACTTCCCTCCTTGTATGCGTGTGTGTGGCAAGGACTTGGAACACGAGTTTTAGAAACAAAAGTTTTGGTTTTGGTTTCTTCGTTGTCCTAGAAGTTTTTTTTTCGAAAGGAGCGGTGGCAAAAGCTTAGGATTAGTTAACCATATATATATGTGTGTGTGTGTGCGAGGACATACTGCACTTGTATAAGTGTTAGTAATACCAAAATAAAATTGTTGCCTGACTTTTGAGATCCTTGATTGAAAGCCTTTTGTTCATAAATAGGTTTGTTTCTTCGCCTGAGAAGTTTGTCTATTGTTTTTATAATTTAATAAGCCAATTAAGTGCTGCTAATGCCAATAAAAAATATAGAGTTTGCTGGTTGGAAAGTAATTTGATTTATTTAGGTAAGACTACATAGAACAACATTTCGTTGGTTGAATATACTATTTTTGTGGGTTGAATTACAGTAAAGTACAGTCAATGTGTTTTGTTGTTGGTGCAGTCATAGGATGTAACGCGTTACGTCGTTATACTGTAGTTTACAGTAAAATCAACTCATGATTTTGACTGTGAAATTGGTTGAATTTACTGCAGGCGTTTTTTCTGTGTAGTTTCAAGTGATTTAGTGCGGAAAAACTAGACTTGGGTTAACTTTACTTCAATTACTTGATATATATTAAAATTATATGTTAAAATTTTTAATATAAATTTTAAAAAATTCTATAATTATTAATTACAAGTTGTATTATTATTGTTATTACAATGATAATAGTTAAACACAAAGTTAAATTGTAATTTAGATAATAAAAACAGGCTTAAATTTTTCAAAAAATACTCGCAGTTGATCAGCCACCAAATATAGTTTTCCAAGTAATAATAACCTTTCAAAAATAATACCATTTATCCCGCTTAGTGCTCCAGATTTTCTTGAATTTCTCTGCGTTGCATAAGAGATATTTCCCCCCCCACGCTTTCTGCGGATAATTGCCGGAAAAGTTTTCATCGTCGTCGTCGTCGCATTCAAAGAATCGCACTTTGATTTGTTGCAGCGAATTTTCCGCGCTGATGTCGGAGTGGGAACAGCAGCTGCAATTCATTTAACCGAATCTGGTGGTAAAAATTGCATAATTGCATAATTACACCGCTGCTGCCCCCTCTCAAAAAACTCATCAGCGAACTCGTAATTGAGTTATTTAGCGGAAAAGTTGAAGACACATCCGAGAAGACCGGGGAAAAACTAGAAGCCGCCTGCGCCAACAATTTAAGATGACTGGCAGCACGCTGACAAGTTAAATACGCATCCCGAATCTCTCTCTGGCCTCGTCTATTGGATAATTAAGCCATTTTGTGGCAGGTTTTGACAGCAGCGACTTTGGTGGTCTGGTGGCCTGTCATCGAAGGTCCAAGGATTCCCGCAGGTTCCCGCAGGAACCGAAAGTTGCAGCGTAAAAACTGACAGTTAAAGTTCAATTAAATTCGAGTGGCAATTTCTCCTATTTTCCGACATTGAAATATTGAAAATTATGTCAATTGGGATTTCGATTGGGGATTGTGTCGCCCTGCTTATCTGACAGGATGCAGAATGCAATTCGAAACTTTTTTTTTGCGCTCAACTCTGAGGAAAGTTTCTCCTGGAAAATGGGAGGTGTTTAGGAGTGGGGTGGCTGGTAAATCCTCCGCAAAAGGATCAATAAAAGTTTCTCCCACGAAGTAGAAAAACGCAGAAAATTCGGGGGTCGAAAAATGACGTCGGCGGAGTGCCCGTAGCATACATATATTGTCGCAGTCGATTCGGTACTAAACTTAGCTTAGCCTAAGGGCCCGCTGCCGGCCGAGAAGCCCAGCTTAACGGCGCGAGAGCGGAAGAGCGGGAGAACCGTGAATTAGAGCGGCGTAGCCGTCCCTAGAGGCGAGCGACGATCGGGAACACGGGAGCGTGCGATCGGGAATACCGAGGAGCGGAGAGCGGGTGAGCGTTGCTAAGCTGGAAGCGCTTGAGCTTTGGACGCTCGGTGGGCAGAGGGGGAACAGGGGGCCTCCTGGCGTGAACAGGAGGAAAAGCTGGGCGGTTGATCAACCACCAAATGTCAGCTGGAGGCCACACGAAAATGGACAACTTATGTATATATGGGAGTTATATATGGATATATGTTTGTATATTCTACGGGGAACCAAGTAATTGGCGGAGGAATATTACCAAAACTGAAGCAGATGGAACTAAGGAAGGTTATAGATTTGTTTAGACATATATCATTAATATGTATAATTTCTAAACTCTGTTTTTCTCCGTTTTCAATGCTTAATTTTTTGTTATTTTTAAAGAAACTCTTATCCTCTTTTCTAGACCAAATATCATCCTTTATCCTTTATCATACCTTTACTATGAAAATATTTCCCATTCACCAGTTCCCCCAAATATCGTTATATGACTGACCTTAGACACGGTTTATTTTGCAACTCAAAGAACTCCGAGAAAACCATCAGGAGACCTCTGTCTTAATATCTAAAACCATCGAAACTGGCGCAGAATTTTTTTTTTTTTTTTTTTTGGTTCTGGCCACAGGATGAAGTTGCGCCAGGCGGTGGCCAAATGCCACCACAGCTTGTAGCAATTGTCGTACCATTTGTCAGGACGAATGCGGACGACACTCCTCCTCCGGCGTATAGGGCGCCTGCGCCGGACATGCGGCACTCCCCGCTGTTATCCTCGAGCCACACGTTCCACCACGTGGCTGGTGTGTGGAACACGTTCGGCACATGGTGGACGGCGTTCGATTCGAACATCCACTTCGACAATTGGCAACCAGCGTTCGTTAGTGGTGCCTTCGGCTATCCACTTCGGTTTTACAGTATCCAACGGCTAACGGTTACGAGAAGCGCTCGGAACTCCTCGTCTCTCGTTCGCCTTGCCTCGGCTCAGCTTCGTGGACGCTCGTCTCGGAGGCTGCACAGCCTCTAACGGTTTCACAATTTCAGTTGATCAACGTCGGCGCTGTCGGCTGGTTGAAATACGGTTGAAACGGAGCTCAAACGCTGACGAAGGCTGTCCCCGTTCGGTAGTTCGCAAAGTTGCCAGAAAAAAATATTTTAAAATATATTTTAAAAATATTAAAAAAAAATATTTTTAATAGCTCTTACTAGCTGTACATTTGTGTCACTGTTTTTTTTGTTGTTGAATTTTTTAAGTGCTGTGAGACTGTTTCGTTCGCTCTGATCGCAAATGTCGCCGTGGAATTGTTATTATTGATAACCAAATGCGAGTCACGGCGAAACGCTTACGAAAACGGTATTTTCAAACCGCCAAGATCGATCGGAATGGCAAAATGCTGATTCACTTGCTGGTCGTCGTAACGCTCATGGAAGGTAAACCGATCGGAACAGACTCGGCAGCGATTATCTAAAGTATAATATGTGGCAAAAATGAGTATCTACCTTTGGGCTATAAAAAAATAGGGATATTTGCTAAAATCCGCTTAAATAGTGCAAAATGTCATGATTGTGTAATATCAAGAAATAGTTTTTAAAGGAAATAAATCCAACATTTTGGTGGGACTAAAACATCTTTCGTTAAATGATCTTTTAAAATATTCTCCCTTTTTTTAAACCTTACTTGAAGTAAAGTAATCAAGAATATATTGAAAACAACATTTTCATGGCGTCGGTGAAACATATAGAGCATATATGTGATATATCCTATATGATGAAAAATGATATAATAGCTTTAAAAACAAAATTTGTGCTTATTTTTGAATCTGGATCTTGGAATATAATTCTTTATTTAATCAGAAAACACTATTTTCACATTTTTAATTTAAAACACATATGTTTTATACAAAATTTTGATTTTTAAAACCCAGAGACTTTTAAATTTTAGGCTAATCGTTTTTAAAAATGTTTCTATTAAATATGTAAATAAAAGTATAAAATTCTTAAGCAATTATTTCAAATGTTGCCTAAACCTAAAATTAGTAGTTGTTTATTTGTGATTGCTTAAGTAATGAAATTATGTAAAAAAAATCTTTCAGTCGTAATTTTCTTAAAAAAAAAAACATAAAAATACATTTCATAAAAGTAAAATTAATGTTTACTACAATTAAACTTTGTGTGGCATAAATTAAATAATAAATATTCAATGCCAAAAGTTAATTGAAACTAAGATGTCGTCCAAAAGCAATAAATTGATTAATAGTTTGAATAAAATAAATGTAAGATGATTATTTAAAACATACATTTATTTTAAGCCTTTAAAAAATAATCGGAAGCATCTTAAATTTAGCTAAAATAATTTTATTTGAGAAAATAAGAAAGGAATATACATTTTATCACGATCTAAAAATATAGCATTTAGATATACTAATATCGTTGATTATATAAACTTTTTGTGATTAATATGACATTATTAAATATGATACATTTTGAAATATCGATAGTTAAAATTCTAGTGAAGTTGTTTTTTTTTTAAGAACTTGAAAACAATATTGAGCAACATTTTCTGCCTGACGGCAGCTTTGAAATTTGTGTTGGGAAACGTCTAAAACTGTATTTATGGTTATAACAAAACTGATGCTATCTAAAAATGGTGTTAACTACATAAAATACAAAAAATCCAATATAAAAAATACAAGTTAACCCCCCAACTGCCACTTGCCTTAATCACAACCCATTCAAATAAGGAAAATGCTAAAATACAATCAGATCTGACACTGACTTTTCCTCTATATCCTTTTGAAAAAAGGCTTATGAAATGTATCGCTGGCTTATCGGTGACTTTCTCCGCCAGATTGCAACCCTGTAATCAGTGTTGTGCAGCGACGAACGAAGCACGGTACACGGGAAACGGGAAACGGATAACGGTATCCGGACGGACGCATTCCGGCGGGCAATTGAACGCAAACCGACTTGATAATTGTTTCGCCGTAATGCGAGTTTATTAAACCCCCCGCTGAAATAGCAGAAAAAAAAAAAAATAATAAGTGAAAAGTGAAAAGGCTTTGGCCGGCGGGCGTGGATGAGCGATTAATAATGGCATCTGATGTCCCGCTAGCTGCCGGAGTCTGCTTAATGCACTGTCATGGCCACCATTCAGCATGCACATCGCATTGTTGCCATCGCCAATTGCCATTTGGCATTAAAACGTATAAATAACAAGTAAACAAATAAATAAATAAACAAAGACAACGGCCAACATCGAACACTGTAAACGGAAACTGAACACACTGAACACACTGAACACTGAGCACTGACTACTGGTCATTCAATGGCAATTTAATTGACTCACTCATCCACCAGATAGTACCTTTGAAAGTGGTTCAATCAGATTGTACAGTATGTGGCAAAAGTTAGCTTTCATTTAAACGTATGCTTGCTTATATTTTGAGTTGTTTTTTTGAAATTGTATCATACAAAATGAAGATGTTTTATGAATGATCTAAGCAGAATATAATTATAAATGTGATTAGAAAGTTTTACATACTATTTTAGCTCAAGACAAGTTCACCAGTTTTCCTTTATCAAATTTCCTCAAGGTTTAAAATACTTTTCAACCTGTGATGATCTTTTGAGCTGGATGAGAACCAGCGATCGGAGGATCTACACTCCGGCTCGAAGGACCAAAAAGACCACACGAATTTATGGTTGCCTCAGCTCAAGAAAACTTTAAATTTTCTTAGAAAACCTTTTTTTTATTCAATCCAATATATATATATTTATTTTTATATTTTATGTATTGCTAATATTTTAAAATTACAGAAAACTAAGCAAAATAAAACTTTTCAGTGATTGATCTTGAAATATAAACTTTTAAGTAATATCAACAAGCTTTCTCAAAATGTTCTCTATTAAAAATCTAAAAAAAATGTTTAAAATTAAATATTTAAGTATTAAACAAAAGCCATAGGTTTCCAAATGAATGATGACATGAAAAAAAAAAAAAAAAAAACAAAAATTAAGTGACAAAGAACCAGAAAATTTGTAGCTGAACTATTTATCTATATTCCAGGACACACTGTCTGCTCAGTCAAGCGAGCGCACATATATTTCGCTTCATTTTAATTGCGGAAAAATTATGTTTTCACCTGCCCTCCCGCCGGCTCATGCACCTTTCCACTTTTCCGAGGTTTTTCCAGAGACTGGCGGGGCGATTGTCTGCTTGTCGTCTGATAATTGTAAAAAATGAAGTGCCAAATTGTTCACGTCGGCGCGACAATCACAAAATACTTTCCTTCCTCTCTTGCATTAAATATTTATAGATATATATATTTTTATTCGCTACTCATTGTGCATCGTGATTCGTTCTAAAAACATTTTGGGCCTTTGTTCGCTGTATTCCCCAGCCGATAGCGGTAAATGCGGTGAAATCGTATCATTAATTTTGATTTGCTTGGGGCCTCGAAAGCCCCCAAGGCGGGGAGATAACGTCTCCATGAGGCTATACAAGTTAATGGTCAGTAAAGCGAACTAATTTGCAAATCAGTGGTTAGATGGCCTCATAAAAATAGAAATAAATCTGGTATGAAACTAAGAAAGTCAAGGATTAAACGGTTTCTTGAAAGAAATAATGTAGTTATATTAATAATTATTATTTTATTATTTTAGAAATTTCCTCGAGTATTAACTCATTATTTTACTAGCTGAATATAGATTTAATACAAGTTACTTCCTTTAAATAAATAAATATGATATATTAAAAGACTTAACAAATAAACTTTCTAGGGCTAAAAAGCCTATATTTTCGGTGGCAAAAACTACAACCAGAGAGGCAAAACTATTCCCATAAAGTTGATAATTATGCTGGGACGTGGCCCACGAGTCTCTCTGGGTCCGCATAAATATTAAATACATGCAGATGTGCATATTTAAAGCACTTAAATCACGGCAAACAATAATTCCCCAGCGATAATAATAATAATGCAGCCAGGACATGGACCAAGGACCAAAGGACCGTCGGCAAAAAGGGGTTACGATGTAATGGCAGCTGATAATGATAAACATAAAAGTGAAAATAATTTTCAATTACAGCAACATTAATAACCGATAATAATCCTAAGCAAATATAAAGCGATGAGCGAGTGTGTGTGTGCCAGTGTGTGTATGTGTGTTTGTATGCGATTGTGTGTGATGTGCGTGTGTGTTGTTGGCTCGTTACTGTGTGTGCATATCAATGATATGCAAATTAATTGCCAAATGCCAGCGAAATGGGACAGCCATAAAACCACCCACAAAACCGCCCACCGGATGTGAAATGTAAGCTAAACCGCAATATGGCTAACAGAGCGAGATAGCGACACCTTTTTGCCACTTTTAATGGCCATTTTGCTGTTGTTGCCGTCGTCCCTCGAGTGACTTAATTGATACCAACAACAGGCACCATGATTTTCATGCAAGTGCATATAGTTTTTTTTATGTAATTTTTTTTTTTAATTTTAATTTTCATCTCCCCTTTGAGTTGGCTCTTTTTTTTCCGCAGACTTTCCGACTTCTTCTTTTTTTTTGCCTCCGGCTTTTAGCGCCTGCGGTCAGCGAGAAAAGCCGCAGACGGAGTTAGTTGCCTGCGCTTTTCCCCCATTTTCCAGGACGCAAAAGTTGCTCCATGCCGAAAAATGCGCGTAATTTGTAATTAATTACATGTGACGCCCAAGGAATAAAATTCGAAAATATATTAAAAATAAAAAAAGATAAGATTAAAGGGGGAAAACAAAGTCTCAGAGCAGTAAGCCGATTAAAAACATACATACATATATATATGTAAACATATACTATGTGGATTAATGTGAAAAAATTAATATATAGTACAAGAAACTGGAGAATAAAGCCAAAGCCTTAGAGGTTTTTTCTGAGAATTTATAGAGAAAAAATTGAAATTTAATTTTTAAATCTAAATATTGCCTAAGGGATTTTAGAAAATATATTTTCAAGTTAAAAAGAAATTTTGAAAATTGGGGAAAATTGTGAAAAATTGTAAAAAATTGATGAAAAATTATTTAAACTTAAAATTTAATATAATTAATATTAATATAATACAAAAAAGTCGATCAGCCTATAATATTTAATTAAAAAAGAGAATTAATATAATACTTTATTTTATTTATTAAAATATAACAAAAATTCCTCAGTAAAAATTTAAAAAATAATTTAATCTTTCTTGGAATTTTCATTAAAAAATTATAAAAATAATAAAACTTAAGCAGTAAGTTCCCTTAAATTCTTGAAAAATAAAAACCATAAATCGCTAAAGTAAATAATAATTATTTACAAATTGTCCCCGATTAAGTTAATGATTTCTTTAAATATTATTGAACAAATATTTGAATATTCCCGCCTTAGCACCAAAAACTTTGGCAATTAATATCAAACCCTTTTCAAAAGCATAACAAAAAGAAAGAGAAAACACATAGAAATCAAAAGAAAACAGGAAACAAAAAAAGGGAAAAATAAGAAAAGTGTGAAACAGAAATCAAGGCACAATTAATTGCGTGATATTTGCTAGGACAACAAATAGGAAAATAGAAGAAAAAAGGCAAAGCCAAGAAATTTAAATTGAATTTTTTCGTGGAAAAGTGGGTGGGCGTTTTTTACGAATTGGCAGTAGTTCAACGCTGGCCGACGACGATTTGTAAAAATGCTAATTTCAATGCCAGCCGACAGTCATTTGCAGGCTGTCTGTCCCACCTTGTCCTTCGTCCTTATCGCTCGCCTTCACTTCGAAGTCATTTGTTTGTCTTGGGCCAAAACTCGCCTTTAAGACGGCATTCGGTCTCCGTTTCGCTTTCAAACTCCAGCTTCAGATTCCATTTCAAGTGTCCTGTGTTTGCCTTTCGAAATTTTGCCATTATCACCTATCATTGGTGCTTTGCCACTGGATTTGTGGGCCTGTCCACGTGTGAGGCTATAAAAAACGAACTACCGAGAAAAAGGTGTCGCTGCACTAGAAAAAAAAGTCTCTTGAGAAAGTGAAAAATTGTATGGGAAATATAAGCGAAAAGTACATAAATAAGATCAGTTATAGGCACACAATTAAACCTAAAACCAGATTTTAGTTTATATTCCTGTTTAAGAAACACCAAAAAATTTTAACAATTTCAACAACAGAGGAATTTTGCCAAATTAAATTAAATAAAATCACAAAATTCATGTATAGCAACCTCTATTCAGCTAAAAATTACTAACTAAAAACTCTCCAATAAAATAATAAAAGACACTTTTCGTAAAAAAAAAACATTTCAAATCAAGCCAAAATAAGTTTTATCCCAAGTGTAAAAATCTCAGTTTCGGTTACGTCCGCAGTCTCCCCAGCCACAGGGACTGTCACTGTGCCATTCCCATGCAGATTGGCATCTTTGTATCGGATCGTATCGCATCGCATCGCCTCGCCTCGTGTGTGCTTACCTTGCCCACACCCCAAGTGACAGCCGCCCAGGACACCCAAGCTAATACGTTTTCCTGCTTAAGTTCTGCCAATGTCCTTAGCCATAAATTTGCTTCGGCAAATCCTCATTGTCGTTGTGTGATTTAAACTTTTTCCCCGGAGCAGCCAAGAGAAACGGGGGAAGCGAAGGGAAAATTGTGTAAAAGGAGGTTCAGGCCTCAAGCCTCGAGGATGTGAGACAAAAATTGACAAGGCTCGATTCGGCGGGGGATTCCCCGAAATGCGTGTGTTGCAAAAGAAAAAGGGGAAAATTGAAATGAAGGCGGCTGGAATTTATGAGGCAGAGGGGAGATGCGGAAAAGCTAAGGGGTTAATTGACTTTGCCTCGACTCCGGAAAATGCCAGGCCAGAAGTGGAAGTGCCTCAAGTGGAAGCTGCTGACCCACGACCAGAAGTCGGGGCCAAAGTTCACCCAAATTCGGGTGGCAGGAGGCGGCTGACAAGTTCATTGGGATTGGCACAATGCTGCAAAACATCTTCGCCTGCATGCGGACTCGACTCAACTCGACTCGACTCGCCTCTCCAACAGATTGACAAACAAGCCACAGTCAGCCAAGCAGCAACATCAGTGCAGTGCGGGGCTGCAGGAGGCGAGGCTCCACTGTACCGTCCACACCCGCAACACTCTGGCTTTGGGTGGCCAAAAGCAACCACACACACACACACCGCCTGCAGGATGCCGGGACTGCTTGAACTTTGGGGGTGTTGTTGAATTTTTGGTATACAATTACAGCTTAGCTTCAGCCTTTGCATTTTATGCATTGGTTTTTGCAAAATTCCACCAACAAAAAGTTAGCAATATGTTTCAATAATTTATAAGGAATGTCGTAAGAATGATATACTTACGAAGAATGATATTCTTACGAAAGTTTACATTTCAACAATTCACCAATAATCGTAGTCAGTCATTAATAATCTGCAAGAATTATAAAAATAGTTTAAAGAATTGCCCTTGCTTTTTTACATTCAAATAGAAAGTAAGTCACCAATCACCTTCAACAATTGGCTATAGGAAATTTAAAGTCACCAATAAGTTTCAACAATTCCAACAATAAAGTCCTTTGTTGTTGGAATTGTTGAAACTTCTTTTCAAACAGGGAATATTTTAAGAATTTAATAAAATTGGAAAAGAAAATGCTACAGAAAATAAATATATCTAAAGTCACTAATAGGTTTCAACAATTCCAAGAACAAAGAACATCACACATTTTATTTCAATGAAAAGCCAATAAAATCAAAAAACCAAATAATTATACCAATTAATTGCATGAAACCAACCATTTCTGGTTAAATACTTTGGTGAAAGAAAAGTTTGCTATATATTAAAGCAAATACCACCATAATTTACTTTGTTAATTCAGCCATTGTACCCTCAAAAGATTCTCTCTCAATAACTCATGACTTAAACGGCACTGAATTCAGCAGTAAATCAATGATGAATTCAATCAATTCCACCTTCAATTAAATCGCAAACAGTGGCGGTGGAAGAGTGGCATGCATTCCACCAATTAATTCAGGACTGAATATATTCAAATGTGCGAGCATGTCTGGCACTCGACACAAATAAAGTTGCTTAAATATTTTTAGCTTGTGGCCGGCAAGTAGATTATCCAGATTAACAACTGTAGTCGAGTGGTAGGAACTTCCGTTTGGATCCTTGGAGCTCTGGACTTGGATTCCGCTTTGCATTTGTCAGGCAGGCAGGCAGCAGGCAGGCAGGCACAGTCACCGAAAGTGCGATAAATCATGCCTTTGGCCAATTGAGTCAATTCAGCACATTCCTCAGCACAACTCTCCTTCTATATATCTATGGAATATTTCTACACACAATACACCCACTTTTTGGTTCCCTTCAATCTGCAGTGAGCCAACGGGTACTGTCTATAAATATTTAAATTTCAAGTTTGCCAAAAGTTTTTTGCATGCATTACGATGGATGTAGACGACGAGGACGAACGGAGAGCGGTCTGCGGCCAGGACAGTAGTCGTGCGTGGCTGCTGCTGTCTGGTTCTGGGTTCTGGGTCCTGGGTCCTGGTCCTGGTCCTGGTCCTTTCCCTTCAGCTCAGATTATATATATCCTGTTTAACCTCCTTCTCTTCCATTATTTTGCATACCTCTTAGAAGGTGTATTTTATATTTTGCCAAACTAAAATCATTAAAAATAATTTGAAATTTGCTTAGTAAAATGTTTAATATTACAAAATATAAATTTAATTTTAAGCCAGGATTTAGTAAACTTATAAATAAGGTAATTAAGTCCTGGGTATTTTCCGCGTCGACTACTAGGCCTACGAATTTTTCTGAATTTTTTCTTTTTTACATTTACGGCCTGGCAAACTTTTTTGCAGCACTTGCAAGTGAAATGTTTGATTTTCAATGATTCAATAAATTATTTATATTTGCGTGTGCCCCAAACCCAAACTCCGGACTCAGTTACCCTGCGGGAGAGGGGAAAAGAGCTGGAAATGCCGTGCCCGTGCCCGTGCCCGTTCCGGATGTCGATCTTCAATTAGCCGCCGCAGCTCTTTAAATTGTCTGCCGCCGGTTGTCTGGCACAGTTAAGTTGTTGGCAAGGCCGAAATGCAGGCAGGGCTGCATTCTACTGGGTGGTTGGGTGAAATAACGGGCACATTTAAAAGCGATAAATCACGGACTTTTTGGCAGGCGAAACCAGAAGGGGAGGCAGGCGTTTTATGTATATCGGGGTCTAGCAGGGGAGTCCCTGGGAATGCATTGCCAGTGAACTCGCGATATCATTAACTGCCACTAACACAGGCACACACACACACTGAAGCACTCTAATCTAGTTGCCTTCTCCCACTTCTCTCTCTCTCCCTCTCTTTCCAGCAATTGGCGCCTTTCAGCCGGAGTTTGTGGAGAGCATTTCCAACGTGTCCGTCGCCGTTGGACGGGATGCAACCTTCACGTGTCACGTCCGCCATTTGGGCGGCTATCGGGTGAGTCAACAGTTTGCAGGACTCCCTTCAGCCCCCCAAAAAAAAAAAAAATACATATAACAAAGGACTCCTCCACTTCTGTTCTCTATATTTATTTCTAACTATTTTCTTTACCTTAAATACCTGTTCTCTTCTTAGGTGGGCTGGCTGAAGGCCGACACCAAGGCCATTCAGGCCATTCACGAGAACGTGATCACCCACAATCCACGTGTCACGGTCAGCCATTTGGATCAGAACACCTGGAATCTGCACATTAAGGCGGTTTCCGAGGAGGATCGTGGCGGTTATATGTGTCAGTTGAACACGGATCCCATGAAGAGTCAGGTGAGTTTGGACAAAAAATGTATTTATAATTATATAGAGAGATAAGAAAAAAATATACTTATGTATACTTAATGGAAAGATAAAAACGTATACTTAATATAGTAAATATATTACGTATACGTCATGGTGTATCTATTTTTAAGGTGTATTACGTATACGCCCAAACAAATACTTAAGATATTTTTTATATCACGTATACGCAGCGTTGTATTTGTGCGGAAGATAACAGTGAACTGTATACATATTTTATATTAATTTTTTATTTTTAATAAATTTAATTTAAAATTTTTTAAATTTAAATAATACAAAAAAAAAACGAATTTAAATATAAATTTAAAAAATATCTGGTAATTTAGATTTAAATGAAGTTAAATTATTATTTTATTATTATTAATTTTTATATAAAGCAAAGTTAATAATGTTTTTTTTTTTTCAAAGAATTTTAAAAATTTTTGATAGAAAAAGAGGCAATTTCCCTTGCTCCTTATGAACTTTCCACCTTATATTATAAATTAAATAAAAAATAAATATAAGATGAAAATAAATTAAAACCAAGGTGATTCTTTTTCCTAAAATGTACCTTCCCTTTAAGATTTCCCTTCGTAAAAATATATGTAAAATATATATATATATATACATTTTCCGATCATTCCATTCCGCTTTTCCACGTTGTTGTCAAAATGCTCGTCCGCATTTTTCCTTCTCTCGTTGCTTTCCCCCCCCATACTTTTCATGCGGCATTAAACGGTAAAGTAAAATGCGAATGCATTGAGCTGTTGTACTTGCTGTTGTTATTGTTTGTTTTTCGCCATTTTCCTTCGCTTCAAGAAAAGCGTGAGCCAAAAGGGGAAAGGAAAGCGCATCAAATCGAAAGCGAAAACTATGCGAAAACACAAACAGAAGGAGAGGCAATGATGGTGGGGCATATAAATTGGCAGCATCATGTACGCACACATGCACACCCTGCCAAGAGGGGGTGAGTGTGCGTTTCCGCTCACACGTACACTCGTGTGTCCAGCGAAGTGAAGTTTATGGTGCCAATAAAATGTATTTCATGCTTCCTTAATTTTTATTTGCACTTTTACGCTTTTCATAACAACAACAACAACGGTCCAAGTGCCCAGCCATGGAACCAGGGTCAAAGTGCACCGTACTAACCCCCCACCCCCCACCCCCTACTCCCCTCCTGTCTTAAACTATTTAACGCTCCACCTTGGCTTAGTTTATTCTTAGTTTATTCCACATCACTTTGGCTTGCCATATAAAACACTTTGCCATTACTAAGGCTTTACGAGGCCCTTGCATAATCAGCGAATTTTCACCATCATTACACTGCAATAAAGACTTTGAAAAATGTAGTAAATAAAGTATAAATATGATAAGTAATTAATGAATATTAATTAGAATTATTTGATGAACAAGAACATTAGGTGAAGAGTTGCCAAAAATAACAAAAAAATGTATATAAATAAATAATAAAATTAAATATAAATGATAATAAACTATGCTAAATATTTAACCTTAGAAAAAAACTTTGTAATTATATTTAAAAATCTTATATTTTATTTTGTACTTTTGTATTTAAAAATTTACCATTACCACAATTTTGCCAAGACTTTTCAACGATGAAAATATAGAAGCATTATTATAAAAAAAATCTAGGAAAATCTAACTAAATTAAATTGATTTAATTATTTTTTTTTTTTTTTAGATTTATTTCAAAATATAATAATAATAAAACTAATATTATATCAGGATTTCTTTAGATACATTTTATGTACTTTTCAATCATGCCAAAATTAATATCTTAAAATTATTCTTATTTAGTTTTCTATTTTCTTGAATATTTTTTTATAATAATATAAACCAAAAAACTGCTTAAGAATTTCTCTCTGTATACATTACTCTGTAGTTGTCTCTTTAGCAATTTGTGATAATTTAAGTAAGTGGAATGAAATCTGTTTCCCAGGTCGTGCGAATGCCTTTGTTGCCTTTGCTTTATTTTATTTATTTTGTTTACTTTACCTTTCCTATTCTTTTTTTTCGCATTTCAGATAGGCTTTCTGGATGTCGTGATTCCGCCGGACTTTATCAGCGAGGACACCTCATCGGATGTGATTGTGCCGGAGGGTAGTCCGGTGCGACTGACTTGTCGGTGAGTATGTACCGGTTTTATATATGGATATATATGGTTATGTTCTTCAGATTTTTGGGGGGTTTAAAAGGGGAAATTATAAAGAGAGAAGAGAAACTAGAGAAGCTAGTGGAAACTACGGAGAGTAGAGAAACTAGAAGGACTTGGGAGAAGCTAGAGAAACTAGAGAAACCCTGGAGAAATGGGGAAATTAGGGAAACTAGGGAAAACCTGAGAAAACTAGAGAAAACTAGAGAAAACTAGAAAAAACTAGAGAAAACTAGAGAAAACTAGGGAATACTAGGGAAACTATAAAAATTATTTAAACTTATAAAACCTTTATTTAATTATTTTATAATCAGTTCAAAAATTAATAAGGAAAACCCTACTTAATTTTAGTTTCTAGTCTGCTTGAAAATAAATTAAACTCAACTTAATAATTCATAAAATGATTATTTCTTTAATTTGTACTCAAAGTTTGTTTGGGTTTTTTTTATTTGCACTCCTTTGAAAGCTTTTTAAAAGCGCTTAATTCATTTATTTTCAATAAATAAATCTTAAAAAAAAAACACACAAAGCCTTTAACCTTGCAAAAATCACAACTTAAATTTCAACTTTGACTGCAGCAAATAACATTGAGTGTTAAAAGTAAGCCTCAAACTCCAACTCCTGCTCAACCTCTCAAGTTTTCCCACTGCCACATACCATTTTCTCTTTCGGTGTAATAATGTCAACAAATTAAGTGACACTTCATTTCTCTTGATTTAGCACCGTAACTCCTTGGCTACCCTAAACTGAAGAATAGCGGGTATTTAAGGCTATTGAACAGGAAAAAAAGAGAGCAAATCAAAAGGATGAGAGCTAGATATATTTAAGTAATATTTAAAGCTTAGATTGGAGTTATTTCTCTAGTTAAAAAAATGTATAGAAATCGTTCTTATATATTTCTTTGAAATATTTATTTTTTATAATTTTTAAACATTTTAAAAATATTTTTTAAAATAATTGTCTAGCTAAAATCTTTGCCTAAATATACCCATTGATTCCGTACTACCTTGAGCCATTTTCCAGGGTGTTTTTTCGGATATTACAAACATTCCCTAAGTCCCTAATTTGTGTTGCTTACACTCTCCTCCAATGGCTAAAAGCGGACTTGGGTTTGGGTCTGCTGATTTATGAACTTGACCGCAACCACGAAGTGTTGCTCTCGTTCTCGTTCTCTCTTATTTTTAACGATTTAACCGCAAAATGATGAAACGATGGCGATAAGCGCGTTTCACCGCTTTTTCATGTGTGAATGTGTGTGAGAGAAAGCGTGGAAAGCTATTAGAGAGGTTGTCTGTGAATTTCCTTTTTTTTCACCCCGTCGATATATATTTTTTTGTTTCTACTGTTTATTTTTAATGCCACTTAGTGCAAATCCCTTAAAATGAATGAAAACTTTTGCGTTAAACAAACATTAAAAGCACCGGTAGTCAAGGGTTAATCAGGAGAATGAAGGGAAAATATATTTATAAAATCATAAGAATTAGGTTTATTTAAATAATTTTATTTAAATTAAAAATCTAACTTATTTTAAATTACACTTAAAGCCAGACTCTTTAGACAAAAAGCAAAGAAGGTCACACAGTGAGGACTGAAATTCGCTTTGTTTGAGCCAAGTTCGCGTCTTGTGTCTGGCTGTGTCTTTGGGCCATGTAAATTGCACTTGATTCGGCAAAAGTTCCTGCAGATTTTCCTACAGATTCTACTACAGAATCTACTACAGATTTGCCTACAGTTTTCCATTCCCCACCCCTCGCTATCCGCAAACCGCACTCACACAGGCATTCCATCTTGGCCGGGACTAAAAATGGCTAAGCAACTGCCGCTGACTGTTAGCCAACTGTTGGCCATTGTGTTGGCCATGTGGGTGTGTTAGTGTGTGTGTGTGTGTGTGTGTGTTGGTTGATTCTCTTTTTAGCCATTTTGCATCTGTTTGCGGCATCATAAAAATTTACCACACCCGTGTCTGGTTCGCTGTTGAACAACTGCTGTCTTAACACGCATTTCGCCCTCTCTCTCTTGGCGATACCCTGTCTTGTCTGAGAGGAATAGGGGTTGTATGGACTGTCTAAGTCAGTATAATATATATAAATATATTTTTTAAATTTTGGTTAAATATTTTAAAGGCCTTAAAGTTGACTTTTGGACTTAGGAATACAAAAAATATACCAGTTTCCCCTTAAAACCCAAAGATCTAGTTTTTTCTCTTTAAAAAATTCTAAATAAAATATTTCTTGTTTCAATAAGAATATAGTTTTTAAAGGGTAACCCTAGTTTGATATTTTCCTATATCTCTTGCTTTTTTTCCAACTGCATCACACACTTGAGCATCGGCGGCGGCGCCTGCTGGCTTCAAGCGTTTTGCCTATTTCCCTGCTCCTGCTCCTGCTCCTTGTTGCTGCCTCTTGGATTGCACAAAAGTTTTTGCCCCCAACACGGGCACAATGGAAGGCTCCAGGATCTTAGGATCTATGCTGAGGCATCGTCATATTAAATTTAATAAGCCACTGAACTTGAATATTTGCCATTTAGCATTTGGCGTTGGCCATTTTCCGTTTCCGGTTTATGGTTTCCATAAGTTGGGTTCTTGGATTTTCCAGGCTTGAGTTTAAAATTATATAATTATAAAATACTTTCCTCAATTATTATATATATTCCCCTTTTTTATTGACAGAGCTCGCGGCTATCCTGAACCGATTGTCACCTGGCGGCGCGAGGATGGCAACGAGATAGTCCTCAAGGACAATGTGGGCACCAAGACTTTGGGTGAGTGCCAGAGCCCCCCACTGAAGGTTTCATTTGTTTTTTATTTTCTTCTCCCTTATGTTTTTAGCACCCTCTTTTCGCGGCGAAGTCCTGAAGCTGTCGAAGATCTCCAGGAATGAGATGGGGTCCTACCTGTGCATCGCCTCCAATGGAGTGCCCCCATCGGTTTCCAAGCGGATCTCTCTCAGCATACACTGTGAGTACCCCTATCTCTATAAGGATATGTATAACGTGTCCATGCTGACCGTCTCTCTGGCCCGGCGCTGCGCCATTAATTAGAGGCGCCTGCGGTTGGTCAACTCCATTCGTTGTCGGTGTCGGTGTTTCCAGAGGCAGTGGCAGTGGCAGGACCAGTGCCATTGCCACCACCTCATCATCAGTTGTCTTACAGCCTCAGCAGCAGCATCCGTCAGCCAGCTCGGTTTTGGCCACAGCAGCTGTGGCGTTTATCTTACATTAAGTCCTACACACAAAGAAATGGGTTGAAAAACGTTTTAAATTGGCTGAAAATATTTTAGTTAGGCCAGTTACGATTTTTATTTAATTGTTTTAGGATTTTTTTTCTTTAAATATTAAATTAGACAAAGTAGAAATTAAGAAAAGAAACAAACAAACAAAGTATTTATCAAAAATATCGATAAAATATCGATATTGACAATATAAATTGTTTTTATATATTTTTAATATCAGTTTTAATGTTAAAATATTAGTATTATTAATTTAGGAGCGTTTTGACTAAGGATGTTCTACGAATAACTAGAGAAAAATCTGGGAAATATCGATACAATATCGAAAATATCATATTCCTTAAGAATATAAAATATTTAAATATCAAAAAATAATAGTTTTTGAGTTCAAATATCAAAATAATCGAACAAATAGCAATAAAATCTTATTTCATTTAGTTTTTTTATTTTTGCTGTGCTATTTTTTCGATATATTAAACGGAATATTGATTTTTCGTAACATTAAAATATCGAATAATTGATTTTAAAGCCAAGGTATCGATATTTTCTGTTATCTCCGCGTTGACCTTAAAATTTCTATTAGCAAAGGCCTTATTATTACCCCAATTTTGGCTCAGTGCTTGGGAAGTCCATTTAAGGAGCTGCCCCCGCAGGTAAAAGAAGCTGGAAAACTGGGAAAGTCCAGCAGCAAAGAGGGCAGGGGCTGGTGGGGGCGTTAAAAGGCAAAGACAGAAGGTAAACCCGAGGTTTCCAGTGCTATGTCCTATGTTCTATGTGCCGTGCTAACTCGATTGTCCTTCTTGTAATCCGTTTAAATCCTGTCACTGATACTGGGGCATTACCTGCGCTTCTCCTTTTGTTGTTGTTTTTTTTCCGAAAGGCAAGAGGAAAATCGAGAGGAAAATGCGGGGGTAGGAAGGGAGTGGCGCCAGGCAGGTGCCTTTTCGGTGGGCCACAGCTTTTTTGTCAAACTGTCTGCAGCACGTGCTGGAGCTACCCCTCCTCCTTTTCACCCCCATTTTCCACCCCTCGCCCTCGCCCCCTGTGTGCACTTTTGACTCTGCTGCCATGTGGCAGTTCACTCAATCATCAAGGCAGCTCAAAAAGTGGGGGAATCCTGGGGGCGGGCTACTGCGTTTGTTTGTCCTGAAAACCACCCCCATCTCCCGCCGCCTTGTTTGTTTTTTGGCTCGTTTGCCACTGCAGCAGCAGCAGCAGCAGCAGGGGGAATCCCCTCGCCGTCCCTCGAGTTAGGTGGCAAAATCACGCCTTTTAACATTTTGACATTGTGTTAATGCGGTCTTTAAGTGGCACTCGTATGTGAGGAATAACTTTAAAGTTAGGTACGAAAATCGAAGGGTAAAGGTTGAAAAGAAAGGGTATTTAGGGGGGTTTTAAGTAGATTATATTTTTTACTGAGTTAATTATTAATCAGGTTTAATGGGGTTTTCAATATTTTAGAAGATTTTATTATCTAGAATTTTAGAAAACATTTTAATATGATAATTAATATCTGAAAAATCAAATGTAAAATTACCAGAAATTCTTGATTTTAGGACATATTTATAGCCTTTAATTTAATGTAATAAATTGAATTTAAACTTAATTTAATTTTACTTTCTATTTAAAAGTAATTTATATTTTAATTATAATTAAAAAAAATATTTCTGACCTATAAATGTAAAAATAAATATAAAAATAATAAGAAGCTAACATTTCTGAGCTATAAATACAATAATTAATAGAAAAATTATGAGAAGCATTTAATTTACAATTTATATATTTTTTAAATCATTTTTCAAGGCATGAAATATTTGATTATTGTTGGTTTCTATATTTTAAATTTAAAAGCTTATTTAAAAATAAACTTAATTTTCCGCCAAGGTCTTGTCTTGAAAAAATACAATTATTTAGGTGTCAGGAAATGTCAAGAAATGTCAAGATAAAATATAAATATAATATATATCATTACCTTAAAATTTCATTTAAAAATCTTAATTAAAAAAAAATATATATATATAAAATCAACTGAGTACCAACAGGTTTTCCCCCCAAAACCAAGTCCAACTTTTTGGACTGCTTGTCAGCAGTAAACAGTTACTGGTTAAACAGTTATCTTGGAGGAGCAGCGACTGCTGCTGAGGTGGAAACCTGGGAAAACTTTTTGATCAACTCGAGCGGAGAGTGCTTCGCATTTCCCGTACCCCTGTTACCCCCTTCTCTTGGTTTTCCCATACTTTCCGCTGCGTGTTTACTTTTCCTGTTGCCATTTTGCAACAACTTCCTTGCAATTTGTTTGCCAAAGAGTTTGGTGGTGGGGGTGCAGCCACCCATTCACCACTCCCCTGTACCGCAGCTCTGCTGTCCCGGTTGTCCCCGCTTTTTCCGCTTTTTCCGGGAAACTTTTCCGGAGTCAGTTGCACAAGCAGATGCTTTCCAGCTGCTGCAGCTGGCTGATAAAGCTACACGGCTAAAAAAATGCATTTCAAATGCAATTTCAAAGATGAAAAGTTAAAATTATAAATTTATTTTATTAATTTCATTTAATGTGGGATTCATCAAATTTAAATGACAAGTTTTTAAGAGATCTAACAAGTTCTTTTTAAATATTAAATTTGTTGTATATTTTTTTATATATTTTTATATATTTTATATATTTTTATATATTTTTATATATGTTTATATATTTTTATATATTTTTATATATTTTTATATATTTTTATATATGTTTATATATTTTTATATATTTTTATATTTTCTTGTATTTATTTTTTTTTAAGTTATACATATGTTAAATTTTCTCGCAGTGCCTTTTTTGCGTTGAACCATTTCCGTTGCACTGCGTTTTCCGTTTGCCGCCTTATTAGGCGCTTCCCCTAATTAGCTGCACCTATGGGATGTGCAACAGGAACAGGGACTATCAACCCGCTGGCAACATGCAACATGCATCCTTTGCCCCAATGTGTGTGCTATGCTATATCTCGGTTGCATAGCCACGGATATGGCGTCTTCATCTATACAATTTCACTCTCCTTGCTCGGCTGCAAGTTGGTCAGGAGGCACGTTTGCTCCTGTTTTATCCTGTCAAATGTAAATGCGACAAAATGCGAAAAATCACGTTCGTGCAAAAACCACCAAAAATCTGCAAAAAAAAGAAAGAAAGAAAAGTCAGCGAAGAAGAAAGGATTTCGAATTAAAAGTTGACCAGTCTTCGAGAGAAAACTAAGCCTATAAATCTATAATTCTTTAGGGAATTGTTTACCTATTTAATGTTGTATTTTAAAAACAACTTAAGGTGCCCCAGAAACCTGCACTGTACCCAGAATCTGCTTAGGCCACGCATGAATTCCAACTTTTTGTCACCTTCAAACCAACTCGAGCCCAAGTTCTCTCTCTTCCAAAAAACAATTGTCCGAACCAAAATGGGAGTCTGATGCTACTGCTCCTGCTGGGAAAATTCTGGGAAATCGTAGCAAAAGTCTGGTCAAAAGGGGAGGAAGGAGGGGCAGCAGGACAGGTGAGACAGTAAAAGCGGCGGGTTGGTCGAAATGTGTGTGTGTATGTGTGTGTGGAGTTTGTAGCGAGTGGCAGCAGCTGACGACGTCATTAGTGCATATTTGTGGCTTTGTTTGCCGCAAAACTGAAGCGAGATGCAGTGGCAGGCGGAGGACCTGGCTGAATACCCGAATGCCTCAATGGCTGAATGGCCCGAAAGGTGAAAGGTGAAAGGTTGAAAGGTACCCGTTGGCCACCAGGCAGGCAGGAACATGCTCAGAATAATCATTGCAAAATTGCAAATCGCCCAGCGAAAGTGCCGAGGGACTGCAGCTGCCCGTACAACGGGCAACTGGCCACTGGCCACCCTTTATCCATAAATGCACTGGGTATAGACCCGAAATGTGGCAGTTGCCCGAACCATATCCTCCCTCCCCGAATCCCTGCGCCATGTGGATTAATCATCATCACGTAAGGCCCAATGGCCGGCGGGCTGCCTATTTAGACTAAGAATCAACTCACAGAGGTGTCCGTTTTTTTATAGTTTGGCGTCAAAGCAAACTATATTTTAAATTATACAAAATTTCTTGTTTATTTTATCTATTTAATTGCCAAATTTTAACTTAATGGGCCAAGTTTTAAGGCGAAAAAAATTAAAATTAGGGTTCTTTTATGATAACCCTAAAAAGTATGCTATACTTTTGACAAACAACTTACTCGATAAAAATGGAATTTTTTAATGATTTTTAAGATGTAATTGTTCCTATTTTTAACATTTTTTTTTAGTGTTATTTAAGTCTCAATAAAAAACAATTTATTTAATAAATTTTTAGATGAAATTATTCTCCTTTTGAACATTTTTTTTAAGATTCTTAAAGTTTCAATAATATATCGTATTTTGTAATGATTTTCTTCTTATTTCAAACATTTTTATAAAGGTTCTTAATAGAAAATTGCATTATTTAAAATTTAAACATATACCTCCTGCTTTTCAAGCTAAAAATTCTTATTAATTTCAACATTTTCCATACTTTTCCGTATATAAACCCTTGTTTTTAGTGTAAAAGTATCGAATTTCGTGTCAATTTCTTGGCGATCGACGGCATAAGCAAAGTTGGAAAGTTATTCCATATGCGTATATATGAAATTTAAGAGAGGGGGCCAACCACAAGCGGGATTAGAGATAGTTGATGGCCAAGACAGAAGGCAGTCGGCCATGGAAATCAATTAAAATCCCTCCGGCTAGGAGAGTTGCCCCACGCGGGGGAGCCAAGGGACATCAGAAGGACACTTTTCCCGGAGTCCTGCAATCAACTATCAATGCACATGGCCGCAAATGTCTCAAGAGCCAAAGGGGAGCAGGGAGGGAGGAGGAGAAATGTTCGTGGACAATGTGCAATCTGGCAGGGATCGGTGTGGAGCTGGAAGCTGGAAGCTAGGAGCCAGGAGCCCTTGCAGGTTTTACAAAACCACCAATTTTGGTCATGGCACCAGCCCCCCCTCCCCACCTTCCCCTCTTAAATGCACGCCCCTGCCTTGGTCTCACCTGCAAAAGGGGGAGCCTAAGTGACAATAAATACGAAAGTTCGGCCATCGGCAAAAGAGTTGTCAATGCAGAATAGACGCTCTCTGCATTCTGATGAGTTCCCTGGGCTGCAGGAAAATGAGTGGGGGGTGGAAATATTGGTGGAAAGTCTGGGTGGGAACGCACACACACACACACCCACTCAAATTATGGCACACTCAATTGGCCTTTGCTAGCTCGGCTTTTCCCAGAAATCATTTAGAGTCCTTTGAATTTGGTAACAGGACGCCACCGTCTTTGTGTGAGGTTTTAATTGGTCAACATTGGTAGCAAGATTTCAGGTAGCAAGAGGGCTTTACGAATTACAAAATATATGAAGTTAAATGATATTTATCATATTTGTTTTAAGATTAACTTATGGTTCCGTTCCTCCCACTACCATATAACAGCGATGGTATCCTCCTCGCCGAGTCCCTGATCCACCTGCAGCGGATCCTGTGGCGGCAAGGTATCCTTGTCCATGCCCATGGCCTCCACATTGGGTCCAAGCTGCGATCCACTCACTATATTGATGGACATGCGCTGCCTTTTGCAACCAGTAGCTTCGTCGTTGTCGTCGAGCCCTTTATCATTTTTGTTTCCGTTTCCGCTTGCCTTTCCACGTTTCTTGAGCGACTTGACCGTTAGACCCACCAGCATACAGGCCACAGTGGCAGCGCCCACACACATTAGCGCCTTGTGGGCAGGACGCAGACCTCCCACGAAGCCACCAAATCCAGCCAAAACGGCAAGTCTATCCTCTGGAAATCCCAGCTGCTCGGCCAGGATCTTTGTATAGTTGAACATCTTTTCGGGGCTGAAACGGGAGTTTGTTTTGTAATTTCTTATAATGAAAATGTGTAAAGTTCTGTAGTGTTTTTCAGCCCAAAAAACCCCTTGGCTAATTTATGGACATTTGTTTTATTTAGCCCAACTCATGCTCTCTTTTCCCCTCTGCTCCTGTCTCTCGTTACAGTTCACCCAGTCATCCAAGTGCCGAATCAATTAGTCGGCGCACCACTTGGCACTGATGTTCAAATCGAGTGTCACGTCGAGGCCTCGCCCAAATCAATTAACTACTGGATTAAGGACACGGGTAAGTGTGTGTGTGAGGAGACCTGTCTGCCTCCATATATATACATATATATAGATATATGGATATATATGCCTGGCACATGCTGGATGTGCCGGGTACATGCATCTATGCAGATGCCGGACCTTGGGGCCGAGAGCGCATCATTACTCCCGACATCGATTCGATTCGAATCGAGTCGGCTCGGTTGGCATTGTCATTAGTCAGTTGTCAGATTGTGGCACGTTCGTTTGTCCGCTCATTCCAGGTGCTGCCGGGTCCGGGTCCGGGTCCGGGGTTCCTGTCCTAGTACCTCTTCCTTACCCTGTCCCCCGAATATTTCTAAGCCCCTCGTAGGTCTAGTTTATAGGCTAGTAGTCCTGCCATAACTTTTCCTAGAACCTCTATAGTTTACACCAAAATATTTGGTAAATACTTAGTTCTCTGATAATATCTCAAGTACAAAGTTCAGAGCCACTTACCTTCTTTCACGTTTCTTTTCAAACACTAAATTTCCTTGTGGAAATATATTTAGATTTCTATATATTTTCGTTCTTATATATTGAATATTGTTTTTTATTTTCGGCTGCGTAGCGTTCTGTACGAGAATGTAAACTGAACTGAGTTTTAGCAAAGTTAAGCAAGACGACTGACATGTGTCATAGCTGAGGGGGGTCACAGCTTGCTTTATATTTGAAAATTTTATATTTAAAATATTTATTAATTATTTAAAAACCTTTTCTTTTCAGGTGAAATGATTGTCACATCGAACAAGTACCATGTGCAGGAGAGCACGCAGTCCATGTACGAGACAAAAATGTCAATGATAGTGCGAAAGTTTCAGAAGGACGATGTCGGATCCTATCGCTGCATAGCCAAAAACTCACTGGGAGAAGTTGACAGCAGCATCCGGTTATATGGTGAGTTTTATGACCAACTTTCGCCCTACAATTGAGGACACAAAATTAAACTCAAGTCCTTGATAAACACCTTGATTTGTATACTTTTATTTATGTTTCTTAAAATCAAAGAAAGTACTTTAGTTTTTATTTTAAAAATTCCCCTTTTGACCCTATTTTTGTGACTCCAACTGTCCCACAGCTCACGTCAGACGTACGTATCCGCGAAATGGGACGTATTTGCACCTTTGTTTCAATTACATTTTCTCATTTGCTCCTTTGTTTTTTTCTCCTTTTCCGCTCGCAACAGAAATCCCCGGACCGAATCGTAATAAAAATCCTTCGAACGGCAGCGGAAAAGGCGGCGGTGGTGCTGGAGGCCTGGACGCGGATGCCAATGACATTTTAAAGCAGAAACAACAAGTCAAAGTCACCTACCAGCCGGACGACGAGGAGCTGCAGTACGGATCCGCTGAGGATTTCGACGGCGACGGTGGCTATGGCGATGGTGGTGGTATGGGAGGAGGCGGTGGCCTGACACCGTTATCGCCGCACGTTTACTACACCAGCGGCAATAAACCGGCCACACATAAGCCGGGCAGCTCCGGCGGCAATCAGCATCAGCATCAACATCAGCAGCACCATCACCACCACCATCACCAGCAGCACGGAGCGGCGGGCACTGGAGCAGGTGGTGCTGGGGGAGTGGGGGCCGGAGCAGGTGCAGCAGGCGGCGGCGGTGGTGGGGAGGCAACCCGTAAGCCGACCTATTATGGCGGCAATACGGAAGGGCGCGTACCCATCGACAACAACGAAATGAGCTCCGGCGGCTCGCGATTACGGGGCAATACCCCACGTTGCCCCATCCTGATGGGGCTCCTGCTCCTGCTCACCCTGCCACTGTCACTGTCCCTGTCCTTGGACTCCTGGCCACGGAGTAGCCGGCAATGTCGACAGCCGCTCTTAATGGGTTTGTCGGCCGTGTCCGGCTTTCTGCTGACGCTCTCCCTCTGCCTTTTATAATACGCAGTCCAACGGACCCGGCGACACATTCACCAACACATCCGCCAGGAGGACATTCTCTCCCGAGCGAACAGCACACATGTTTTAGAGTGTAATACGGACATTCGGCCACACATTCACGAATACGACACAGGCGACACATTCCCCTAAAAAACTCAATAGCTAATGGGGTTTCTTACCAAAAGAGATACCAAAAGCATGTCATATTCAGGTATAAATTTCGCCAAGCCATTCTCCAACGGTGTTTCAGGCAGGACATTCACCAACAAACTCAACAACACTTTAACCAAGACACCTACACATTCATCAACACATTCACCAACACATCTAAGGTAAGCATTCACCATACCCTTTCTCCAAGAGATAGAAAAAGACACCTAAAAAATGTTTAACACTGTGCGCTTCTATAAATGAAAAACACCAACTATACACCAACCAAATACCAACACACACCAACACTTCCAGTAAAACACTTGAAACCAAAAAAACGTTGGAAAAACATTCAAACATACACACATGTTGTAGTAGAAAATGTTAAATTGTTTAAAACAAAAACAGAAAATGGAAAGAAACGTAAGCAGACAGGGATGGTCTTTGGAGGCATCCATATTTAGTGAATGTACTTATTAAACGCAAGAATTTCTAGTGTTACCAAACATTTTTAAGGGGGTTGCACAGTTAAGTAATCACAGCTAGCTTAAGGTTGAATTTAAACACAGTGCTAAGCGGTACCCAAAAGCATTTACAGTGTATCGAGCACTGAACAAAATAAGGCACCCCCCCAGGGCCAGAAATGACATATTTCTTAAAAGCTTAATCATTTAAGGAGTCTCAGTTTGGCATTCTCATGGTTAAAAAATATTTTCAATAACTAGAACAAGAATTTAAAAGAATCATTATTCAAAAGATATAATTTCTTGTTGTTGTTAAGACTTCTTGAAACACAAATTCTCTTGTATATTTTTTTAGGTATTAAAGTACACTTAAAATCTGTTTATAAGGAAATATTTTTAAATATTTATTGCCTAGTTTTCAAGTCGAAGTGGAGTGTCCCTCTTGATTGACCATTAATTAAAGACAGACTTCCGAATTGATTTGCCCTTTTATTTTCTTTTGATTTTCTCATTTCATTTTTAGGCGTTTCTCTTACCTTTTTCCCGATTTTCGATTTCCCAAACCGATTTATACACATCCAAGTCGCTTTCCAAAAAAAAAAGTCAATTAATGTGAGAAAGAAATAATAAGTAAAACATGGTGAAACTTTTTGATTTCTGAAAAAAGAAAAGAAGAAAATCATTTCCCTTGGCTTTCACTCCTTTGTGGGTCTTCCGTTTCCGTTAATTTCGGGTCAGTTTCGTTTGACATTTGTTCATTTGTTAACTTTGATTGACATTCGGCGTATAATAAATGGGATTTGAGATGAAAAGAGGGTGGGCTTATGTCTTGTAATCCCTTTTTTATAATTTTTGTAATTTATGTGCTCCACAAAAAATATTTGATAATTGTGCCAGGGTTAAAGATAATTAAATTGCTGCATGTTTATGCAAATTATATGCACACGCTGTGTTAAGCCCTTAAGCTCCTGTCTCTAAGGTCCTGATATCCTTGCCTTAACCCCCTGAACTGGCACTGGTCTTAACCCCCTCTCCTGTGGCATAAGTTCCTTAAGCTTGCCAAAACTTTCGCTTGCTTTTCTTTCGCTTTATTTTATTTACTGTATTTTTTGCCTTGTTTTTTATTTTATTTTGTATTTATTTTTATTTTTTTTTTAAGTGTATGTTGTGGACACAGAAACTCTCGGCACCCAGCTGCCGTCTGTTTTGGTGGTTGCATTTGCTTTTGATGAATTACTTGCATGTCAGTTAACCACACACACTCGCACACTCTCATATTTGCACACACACACACACACACGTTTTAATGAAATGAAAACTTTTTGGCAAAGTGAATTTCATTGTAAGCAACCCTGGCATAGCCCCCCACCAAAAACCAAGAACAATCCCTCTGCCAGAACTTACAACTAAGATGATAAAAACAACAAGAAAAAAATGAAGAAAGGACTCCTTCTGCCTTGTGCTGCCTGCAAATATACAAAACCGCCAAAAGCTGCCACTGATGATGATAATAAGACGCTGACAACCGCAGCAACAGCAACACAACGAACAGCAGCAGCAGCAGCAGCAACATCCTCCACCCCAAAGAAACATGTCAGCAGCAGGCTTGGCAAGAGCGCGGGGGGGAGGTCCTGAAGGGGCCTGTGGAAAATGGGCGGAAAATGCGAGGGAGTGTTGGCCACGTTGACACAAGTGTTTCGAATTACACCAAGAAGCCCAAGAAGAAGGAAGCCAAGCGGCAGCAGCAGCAGCAGCATTTCCACATCGGAACTAGTCAAGCGGCAGCAACACTCATCCTGTTGTTGCAGCAACTACTGATGCTGATGCTGCTGCTACTACTGCTGCTGCTGTTGCTGTAGATGTTGCTGTTGCTGCTGTAGATGTGTTAATGTTGTAGTTGTGGCCTGTTTGCTGGACGCCTCATGTTGCAGCTACCATATATAACTTTCTAAATTTTACAAATAATTAAAAAAGGTCACCAAAAGAGAAAGCAAACTAGTAAATATTGAGTTTAAATATATTATTATTGATTTATTGTTATTATTTTTTAATCATTTATTTTTTTGCAACTTAATTATTGGCTCTAAAGATTGTTGAAATAATTTATTATTATTTGTATAGCTTTTTAAGTATTTCTGAGGAATTTACTTATGATTTAAGAGGGTTTTTAGGCGTAATATGCTTACTTCTACTTACTTACTTCAACAATTTATATTGCAAATCCAGCATTAATTCATTTAAAAATTAGTAGCTTTTATTTTTGATTTTTTAAACTCAAAGCTAATTCAATTGGTGTTCATTTTAAGCCTGTTATAGCTGCTAGGATGTGGCTCTTGCTCCTTTGTTGCTGCTTCAAATAGTTGAGGTTGCTGCTGCTGCTGTTGGTGTTGCTGCTGCTCCTGTTGCTGCCTTTCAAAAGCGCGAGTCCTTTGTTGTCCCGCATTGTATTGCGTAAAAGGCACAACAAATACAAATGTGAATGTGGAAAATATATATGCATTTTGGCAACAACAATGCCAGACAATCAGGCACAAAATACACTGAGCACAATTAGTATCTTTTACTTGAATTGATTTAAATGTAAATTTTTATTTATTTACAGGAAAATTATCAGCCAAAAGCTGATGGAAAATTAAATTATTTTGATTTTCATTGAAACATTTGAATTTCTGGTAAAATAAATCAAGTATTTGTATCAGAAAATAATATTATATTATTACCTCTAATGATTTTTAAATTTGATCAGTAAATAATAATTTCATAATATTATCATCTTTAAAAATCATCAAAATATTTAAATTATTTATATATTATATATATTATATTATATTATTTAATTAAAAAGTATTTAGTTATTAATTTTCATTTCATTTCCCTTAAAAAACTCAGATTTTAAAACAGTTTTCCACCCTTTTGGCCATCTTTTATTTTATATATTATGTATATATTATATTATATTCAGTTATATTTTTCTCCCAGTGCACTTATGTGTATTTTGCTGCTTATGATGGTTATGGAGCCGCAGTTTAAGTTGTTTTTTGGGGCTTTCCGCGACACTTGTAATCAAGTTTTCCACCCCGTTTACCCCGCTCTCATGTGTGCCTCAGTGTTGAGAGAGAGAAAAGGACGAGCTGCTTGGCTAGGGCGTTTGGTGGGAGGGCATTTTGTGGGTGGGCGGTGCCGCTTAATTGCTCTATTTGATGCCGTCAAATTGTATTTTAATTTCGCATTTCCCTTTTTATCATTCCTGCTTTCTGTTTTCTGCTTTCTGGCTCCTGGCTTCAGCTCTAGCTCCTTCTTGGGCGGCAACCGCTGTCTTTAAGTTGTCCTTTATTTTGGGTGAAGAGTATAAATATTAAGGAAGCGAAATGAGAGTTTTTGGCCTAGGAAAAGTTTGTAATTAATAGTTTATTTAAGCAGATTTACTATGGTTTTTATTTATTTATAATTCAATTATTATTATTTATAATTTTATATGTCCAAGAAGGTCCTGGAAAGTCCTAAAAATGTGGAAAAGTTGGTAATTTTTATTTATCTATTATTTAAATAATTTTATTTATAATTTAATACATCAAAAAAAGTCCTAGAAGATCCTTAAAATTTAGAAAAATTGTAATTAATTGTTTAGATAAGTTTTAGATGCGATTTTTTTATTTGCTTATAATTTAAAAAATATTATTTATAATTTAATATGTCCAAAAAGGTCCTAAAAGGTTCTGAAAGTGTAGAAAAATGCTAATTCATGGTTAAGTTAACAAAAAAAAAGTACCTTTTTATTTATTAAAAATTTAAATAATATTATTTATAATTTTATATGACCAAGATCTCTCTCCCTGGCTCCTTTTTTGATTTATTTTTCCTCCTAAAAGAGTCACTTTTAAAGCCTAAATTAAATATGACTTACCAGGGCCAAACCTTAACCTGAGTGATATCCTTATTTTCCAGCTTCTTCATAATTTCTTTTCCTTTTCTTTTCTTTCCTCCCCTTCTCCCTTTTATTTTTTTGCCATTCTCCTTTGTTTTACTGCGGTTTATTGTGTTATGCAGTGTGGCAGCAAACTTGTATCTATTTAAATTTTGTGTGTGGCAACATGTTTATTTTATAACCCCGAGGCAAGTACTGCAGCGGGATGAATGAGGGGGGGAAATGTGGGTGGGTGGCAGGGGAAAATGCAGGTTCCGAGGTAGAGGAGGCAGGGAGTTTCCTTCATGTTTGACGGAAGTTTAATTGAATACACCGCTTACCCAGCAGACCAGAGAGGGGGGAGGGGGGCATGTACTTGTATGTGTGAGTGTGCGTGTGTTGGCCGCAAAACATTTCCCGCATTTTCCGGGTGGGGCGGGGGTTAAAACGGGACAGCAGTCCCGCTAAAACAAATGGCAATCAAGTTGAATTGTTACACACACACACACACACAGGGGGGGCGGGGGATCACCAGAGGAAAATATATACATATATGTAGGGAAAATATGTAGAAAATAAGTGCGGAAGAGAGTCTGTCAGCCGCTGGCTAAAATTTACTCAACTTTTTTGATTTAATAATGAAATGAGTGTCGGTTTGAATATCCTTAGGGGTGTGAGAGTGTGTGTGTGGGTGTGCGAATGTGTGTCCCGATGTGTATATATCCTGGTAAATGGCTTCGCTTTGTAATGTCTCAATGGCTGACAAGCAACTGTCGAGCAACAGCTGGCCAAAGCACCAAGGCACTGTTGTAAATTTCTAGTTTCATTTAAATATAAACAATTGTTTAAACAAAAAGTATATACAAATGAAAACAAATAATATTTCATTAAATTTATTTATTTACTGATATTCTTTAAAATATTCCTTGAAAAATCTTTAAATTTATTGAAAATTAGGCTTAGTTATGGATTTTTTCGATTTTGTTTATTTCAAAAAGTTATATAAAATTATAGGTAAATATTTAAATTAAATTTAGTACGCAGTTTTATTAACCTTACAAAAACTAAGGCAGAACAGCTTTCC